CCTTTAAACCAAATCTGTTACATGTTTATAGCCAGAGTTTGTTGATTAACAAGTTTAATCATCCACCATCTTTCATTCAAGCAAAACCAACATTGCCAAGATGCCTCGTCAGAAGAATCAACACAATACATGATATGGGCGATCATGTTTCTCTACAATTTCCTATCCCATCATAGCCCTTAGCAGCATTTGTTCTTTTACCAAAACTCATGTGCCCTGTTCCCCCATCCATTCACATATGTTCATCAGGTAGGTGGCCTACTGCCTTCCCCTGTCACTTTTGATCTATCCCACAGGTGTCAAATTCTCCAAGCCCTCCTTCCACAGAAAAACCAGCACAACTGAGAAGCTCTGTCAGAAAAATCAACAAAATACACCAAAACTGCAATGTTTATACCCAACATTCTTCTATGTGCCGTGTCACTTCAAGAAATAGATAACCATGGCTCTCCACAAGTTCCTAACCCATTGTAGCCCTTAGCAACATTTATCCCTTTGCCAAGCCTCTTGCCACCCCCACTTGTTTTGACATCCATTCACACAAGCTCATTCCTTTTGCCTTCAATATGTCCTGTGAGCATCAAATTTACCAAGCCCTCCTTCCTTGTAACTTATGTCCAAGAAATTTCATCTGCATTTCTGATTCTGAGTATAATGCCCTTTTTATTTCAAATATCCTAACAACTTACTTGCTTATGCACTCTGTCCATAGTATTCTCAACATCCTTCTGTAGAACCACATTTCTGTGTCTCCTGTTTTTTTCTTTATCTGTGAAGAAATTTTTCAGCATTCATTGCAACAAAAGATTAGTTGTATTACCAAAAAGAATCTTCCTGTTTCTCACTATTTTGCTTCGCTTATATGAAACATCAGTCAGTTGAAAAGGACCAGTTCTTCTCACGTCAACACCTGACTGCCAATTTTATAATTAACTGAATGAACTGGACTACGAAAAACTAACACCCAGCTTACCCACTAGACCTCTCTCCAGCTGACTACCACTTTTTAAAGCCTCTCAACAATTTCCTGCAAGTGATGGTTTTAAACTACCAAAGTAGCATTTCAAAACACCTTCATAGAATTCATTGGTTCCAGGACTCCAAAATTCTACGCTACCAGAATAAATAGTCTTGTTTATTGTTGGCAATAATGTATAAATTCAAATGTCTCTTATTTAGAGTAGTAAAGTTTTTTTGTAAGCAAAGATATGCAATTTTCTTTGTAAGCAAATATATACTACTTTAAAGTTGATAGCGAAAAACCACAATTATTCTATCTGGTATTACAGGCTATATTAACAGCATGCAGAGGTATTTCTATATTTCTGAGATGAGGTATTGTAACTATTTACAGTGTCTGGACTGTTGTCCTCATCTTTATTGTCATATTCACAATGTTTTGGCCATTGTACACTCGGGCTTTCTTCAGATGATATACGCTAGAATTTCAAACCAAACCCTTTTAGTCCACTGAAGTAACTTGTTCTCATTCTATGCCTTCCATAGATATCTCAGTTCTAGTAATTCCCTTCTGCTGTGGCCAGATATTGAACTCACAACTCTTTAGTCACTAGATTACTTCAACCAATGTTTTTAACCACTGGATCATGTGTCCCTGGGGACAACAGCCAAAATGTTGTGAATATGATAATAAGGATGAGAACAACACTGCAAACAATTTCAATAGTGTAAATGGCATGCAGATGTGTTTTATAAAATTTGATTTATGAAAGAAATAATTTCAACGCATATTCAAAATGAAATAAAGGTTTCCTAAAAACTGCATCCAGAAAGAAATACAGTCAGGAGTGGATCCAGGGGGCGTGTTCCTCAGTAAAAATCTCAATTCAAAATTTTTAATGCTTTTTCTTTTATTTGATATGTAAAATTGTAAATTCAAACTTTTAGATATAAAGTGTGATTATATAGCATTTATGAAAAAGGATTTACTAAAGTTAGTTTTTGTGGATTCTTATTTGCATAGAAGTTCATTTTATCATTGTCTAACTGAAAGTCTTTGTAAACATACAAAAGAAAAAGTGCATTAGATCTGTCTTCACTCATTGAGTGCCGCATTCAATTTTTTTAGAAAAAAAAATATATATATATATATATATATATATATATATATATATATGAATTAAATATCAGGGTCAGATTCTGCTTTATCAGTTAGAGGGGGCGTGTTCAAAATTTTAAATTCCATGATCATATATATATTAGGTTACAGATATGAGTAGAGAGTGTTCAGATATATAATTTGCTTTTTCTTTTATTTATTTCATATGTAAAATTGTAAATTCAAACTTTTAAAGTGTGATTATATAGAGTTTATAAAAGAGGATTTACTAAAGTCAGTTTTGTGGATTCTTATTTGCATAGAAGTTAATGATTTTATCAGAGTCTAACTGTATGTCTATGAATATAAAAAAGAACAAGTGTTTTTTTTTGGGTTTTTTTGTGTCTTCACTCGTTTATAAACTTCAAGGATGAATTTGATTGCTCAACAGAAATTTTTTTTTTCATGGGGGTGCACCATCTATGCACCACCCTGGATCTATCCTTGTAATCATCTTGTGTAGAATCAATGTTTGCTACTCAGTGCTGAAGTTTATAAAATAGGCAGATGCATTTTAAAAGCAATACAAATATTCAAAAGGTGATTGAGTGGTTATGGGTGAAAATCTGGCTAATTACAGCAAGTAAAGTTATTACACTTTTATGTCTTGAATCTTGCTGAAGCTGCAAAAACCTTTTAAATTCTTTGATTTTTTGAGAGCAGATTTTCATTGATGGCATCATCTTACAATCAACTTGTTTTTTGGAAATAAAAATGGTTATCAGATCAGTTTTTAAAATAAATTTTCTTGTTTGTTGTTCTTTCAGGTTATGTTTCAGTTATCAAGTTCCCATTTATCCAATAATCCAAACATAAAATATGCAGCGACAAATGAGACAAAAAAATTGCTTTTAATACTTTACTAATAGGATGACTTGTAAAGTAACCTCATTTTTAAACACAGATTAATCTGGATAGCTTTAAACATGGAACTAAAAAAAATAATAACCTATGAAAGTTATTTTGGAGAATTTTGTTAAATTTATGAACAACAAAACATCAATGAAAAAAAAAAAAGAAAAAAAATGTTCAATTTTGTTTTATGGCACAGCAACCATTTTCTAGTTATTTAATGTCAAATTCTGTTATTTTGAGGTCTAGTTTGCACCAGACTGTTATGTCATAGTACCTATTCTTTGGTAATGGACTCTCCCATAGATAATAAGTCTGCAGAACGGTGTTGAGCGCGTCAGTCGAGATTCGGACATTTGAAGTACCAACCATCACAACTAGATTTGCTGCGTCATTGACTATTATTTTTCCAAGTTCCTAACGTTTTGTACAACTTATTAGAAATACAAGCCTCCACTGTGAAAATACTCCACAACACAGACACACACAACAAAAAAGAAAATGTGGGCATAGGTCCAGTTTGTACTAGACACAAAAAAAAAAAAGTAAGCAATTACAGTTTGCACTAGAACGAGAACAGGGTGTAAACACAGACCAGGTTTGAACCAGAGACAAAAAAAATGTAGGCAATTGTCTGGTATGCACCAAAAAAAAAAAAAAAAAAAAAAAAAAAAAAAAAAAAAACAACTGTATTAGAGACAAAATGGGTAGGTGGATATCTGGTTTTCAACATAGACAGAAGAGGTAGGCACAAAGACAGAAAACAGGTGTCCCCTTTTGGGAGGGGAGTTACTCCAATGTCCATGGATGCAGTTGGCATATTCTTGGCCCCAACCAACAAAGTAGTAGGAATATTCATTTGTAATCAGTTTATGAAAGATTTCCAACAAGACCTGTTTATTTTGAATCGATAATCTTTGTATGACAGGGCAACATATTTCATAATTTCATCTGAATTTATGAGATGAGTTATTGTCCCAATTATCCATCGAGTACTTAATTTATATTTAACTTTTTGACTACTATATTCTCCCAGTAGCATGCAGAAGTGAGGGCAGAAGGTGTAATGGCCCCAGCATCCATATCAGGAGGGCATCCAATCAAAGAATGAAATAAAAATTTAGTTTATATTTAATTTGAATAACATTTTTTTTCATGTTTCATCTGTTTTTATATATTAGAAATGTCTTCATTTTTCAGTACTAAGCCCTATAGGCCCTCCTATTTGAGTCTTAAGGATATACAATCAAGGATTTGGCCCCTGGGCACCACCAAACTTCTGCACACTCCCTATCTCTTCCGCTGCTTATCACATTTAGTAACCTTCCAAAAAGGTTGATGAAAACCTTTCTAATACACCAATACTTGTTCTTCCTATATTCATCCACCATTGGGAATTTCAGGCCCAATAACTGTCAGTTCTTCCTTATGACACTCTTCTCTGCCAATATATATGTTCTGCACTACCTGCCTCTCAACTCAAAACTTCTAGAAGACCAGACAAGCTGCTTACTACCAGCTTTATCCATGAGACTACATTATTTACAATACTCGAGCATTAAGATTATTGTTCTGAAAATCCAGCATCTTCCTTCCTGATTTGTGGCTTCCATATGATACACATATCTACACTTGGATGATTTGCAACTGATGAAGACAAAGAGGAGGAATCTGGTCAGACAAAATCAATATATGACAGAGAGTAATTCATTAAGATTTATAGACTTCGGCTATAGGACATGAACTGGTCCTATCTTTTTCTTCCGTCTTTTCTACCTTACAAGGTGACATCTACACAATCTGCCTTTACCATTAAAACCTCAAAAGCATGCATCAGTGAAATTCAAGCAGACAGAACATCCTTTTTTTTTTTTTTTTGCTCTCTTTACATTAGCTAACTTTTGTTAAAAGTTCTTCTGAAAAAAAGACAATTACCTTCACCTAGTAACTATTTTCAGGCTGCCATGTTGTAATACTCAAATTAAAGATTCTATCATTTACCTCACTTTGAAAGATCTTGAGGCTTACAGCCACATCACATTAAAACACTGGTTCCCATTCAATCACCAAAGTTAAGCAACATCGAGTGTGGTCATTACCTAGATGGGGGACTACTTGGGAATATCAGGTGCTGTAAGTGTGAATGTGATGCATGGATGGTGTAATAGATGACAGCTTGAAATGAGAAAAATTCAGAGAGCCAAGTTCAAATTCAAGTCAGGTTAATTCCCATTCACTTATACATATAAACCCTTGGATGATTGTGAATCAAAAAGAAACAATCACCAAGTTACCTCTGCCCCTAACACATATTCTGCCAGCAAAGTGTGTGTGTCCTATACACAGATTGAATACCAAAGTGTCATGCTATAAGAGTATAATATAACCTTAAAATATGTATTATCGTTACTTACTATTCATATATCAGTTTGGCATAGTTAAACACTGAAAAGAATTAAACAGACTGCAACAACAAATTGGTTCTCCAGACAATCTTACTCAGTATTGGTAATCTCTACAGATATTTACTAAGCTTAGCTTTGCCTGACAGAGGGCTACTTAACTGGGGTACCCAATAAAAGACTTACTCTACACTATCTGAAATGAGCTTGGTTTGGTTTATTGTTTTACAGCGTACCAACCTCTGGGTTATTTAATGCTGAGAAGATTTTTAGGATAGGTTCATATGAATAGAATATGTATTTGTAAGAAATGAGTTTGTATATCAGGTTTCATTTAGATATTTTTGTTAAGAGAATTTATGTCAAGGGTCAAATGTATTGCTGGTAATTTTTTTTTCTCTCCCCAAAAATGAATTATTGATATTTTTACTATAAAAATCTATTTTTATACCTTCATAGTGTTTTACCCCAGTTTGGAGGTTAACTATTTGCCCATAGCTGGGACCCTAATAGGTGCTACTACCCTATGTCAGAGTGAACCTAGAAACAACAACAATTAAGAGTTGGTTCTATACTCCTGAAAACCTCCCAATCAGAAGCCTTGATGCCAGATGAAGTTTATCGTCATTCCCAGGACAGAAATAAGCTTGCCAATCATGATATTATATATATATATATATATATATATATATATATATATATATATATATATATATATATATATATAAAATCAACTCGAGTGCCAGAAACCATTTACTATAATATAAAGTGCAGATGGTCTACATGATCTGTGCATTTCACACACAAAGTCAGACTCCACTTTCACAGAAACCACATCACTAGGACACTACCAACAGCACCATCTACTTAAATGGATAGAACATGTAATTTGAAAACAAAATAATCACATAATCAAGATGTTGACACTCCACACTTTTTCAAGCAAAAGGTTAGGAAAACACCCATCAATACTGGAAAGAGCAATAACAGCTACTGGACTTGAGAAACACATTTTCCTGTAAAATTGTTTCAAGAGAAAATTTTATAAATTTCTACCAACACTGACAGTGATTGCTCAATCAATGATTACTAAATATTTCCTTATAAGGAAACAGCTAATATTACCATGAATACAATTGTTTAGCACAAGTTCTTGGAAATGTGGTGCCTCTGACCAGGCAACATGACAGCAATGAAACCACATAAAATGCAGTCGACTACAATCTACCATGATTGATGGATTGCATGGCTCCAGCATTGAATTTGTATGTGGTTTGATGTAATGTTTCCCTTTGTTGAGTGGCTATCATCATCATCATTATCTTTTAGATGGATGTCATTCCAAAATATCTAGACCCATGATTCCCAATGTGGGCTGCACATCCCACAGAGGCGCAATTCAAGAATGAGTTATTAACAGTGAATTTTTTGTCTGTGTGAGTATGAGTGATATGTGAGTTTATATATATAGTGCATATACAGGATGCATGCATAAAAACGTGTGTATGTATGTACGTACATATATATATATATATATATATATATATATAAAAACTAACACAATATTTCTATAAATATAAAATTTTCAAATTAAATCATAATACTGTTGCATATATGTAGTCTCAAGGTCTTAAGGAATTCTAAGTTAATAGCCTCCTTTTAGGCTTCCTCTACATAAATAGGAGTTCACATTTTAAATAATAAGAATCAAATGTGGGTGGGCATCAGAATTTTAGAGATGCTTAAGTGTGGCATGACCAAAAATAGGTTGGGAAAACACTGATCTAAATTGTTAGTTTTATTTGCAGTTGTCATGTATCTTCAGTGTTTGAACTCTTGCAGCTTTTGCCCAAGTCTAAAACAGTTACCAGAGATAGATTACCCACAAGGGTCATAGCGGTTGCTGCATAGTGGCTTGCTCAACAAGAAGTCTCCACTTGATCTGGTCACTGGCCAATGCCTGGCTCTGGACAAAACTTTCGCTTATCCAGGCAATGTTTTTTTACAATCATCTCTTTCTTTGGTGTCTCTTTCTTTCTCCTTGTACCATTCCTTGGAAGATGGTTTTGGAGAGGCTTTGTGATATGGTTACATGACCATACTACTTCAGCTTCCTCATGGCAATCAGCACATTTTTATAGTCATTTATCTGTGCACCTCTTCATTTGTGACATGGTTGGTATAGTAAATACCAAGTAGATATCCATCTCATCTCTACAGCTTGGATCAACCTTTGGAGTCCTGCCATTAGAGTCCATGACTCACCTACATACAGAACTGACAGAAGATGCAACAATCTCAGTTTATTTTTGATTGTGGACTTTTTGTCTTTCCAGATCAGTTTCAACACTGCCATCATAGCTGCTGCCAATGCAATTCTTGCATCAACTTCTGGTTTGGATTCAACGTGGCCAATGACATGAATTATTTCCCCGACTCCAGTTGCTGACCACTGACTGTATTTGGTGCACTTACTAGCCCTAACAATTATTCCATCATCAGATAGGTAAATCCTGTCCCAATCCCTTGTCATTAACCTCCAGAGATCAGCAAATCATTATAAGGCCTACAAAAGCTTCTGGATACAGGTCAATGTCAAAAAGACAAAAATCCTAATTCAGCCGGGCCCCCAGACAAGCAACAACAGATGTCAGCATTAACATTGATAGACAGCTGGTAAAAATCATTGATGAATTTCCCTAGCTTGGCAGCATCATCTCAAATAACGTCACCTGTGAGAGAGACCTTGACAAGAAGATCAAAGCAGCTCATACTGCAAGAATCCATCAGTTGGAAGGACCACATCCCAAACAACAATGTCCTCTCTCAGGCATCTCTCCCCATGCCTCCAACTCTATACCCACATGTCATCCTGTTTGAAGAACTTGCCAGCATCAAGAGACCCAAAGCAACACAAAAGGATCAGATGAAAACATCCCTGAAACAGGCCAAAATCAATCCTGACACCTGGGAAAGCATTGATGCAAATCGGCCTTCCTTGCGTAGAACCATCCAAGTGGAGAGTGAGACATGCTGTCGTGGGGTGGGGGAATCGCCCAGCCACACTCCTCTATGAGTCCTGCTCATGACTATTCTGCACCCTTACTAGCCCTAACAATTATTCCATCATCTGATAGTTAAATACTGTCCTAGTTCCAAGGTTGCCACAATTACACTACACTACCTAACAGAGACCAGTTCTTGAAATGAGGAAAGCTACAACTATCTCTATCCAGCAATTTTTTAATGCTTCTGTTTATAAAGAAATAAGAAACTCAAGTACCTTTTTTCTATGCATGTAAAATTGGATGTGTATGACTTGTTAAAAAAACCTTTCAGTAAAATTCTTTCCTGGACATTTTCTACTTTTAAAATAAAGTTTTATTTGTCAATAATGCAGAGGATGTGCTGGTAGCATAGATGTTATTGCATAGGAAAGTAAAATTAGCAAGCTTAGTTGCATTCATTTTTTTCACTAATATCCATAAAAAAAAAAAAAAAAAAAAAAATCTTATCTCCTCAGCTTGGTAATTAAATAACAGGGTAGACTAGGCTCTCTAACCTTGAGTGACAACCAGTTTAAGAGAAGAATGAATTTAAACCTGTTGCAAAGGCAATAGGAAACAACTCCACTACTTTACCCAAGAAATGATAGCAATTTGCAGATAATGAAAAGAAAAGAATTCTGTGGAAAGCCATGATTGCCTACATCAAGAAGGAACAAAGCATAAAAAAAAATTGCATCCTCAGAATGGCACTGTCACCATCCATTATTCCTGAATGAGAACCTTATAAATTTATCTTGGCAGCAAGGTTCCAGTTTTCCAGACCTCATCTCCAGTAAAATTAGAATTAGTGTTTTTTTTTGTTTTTGTTTTTTTAATTAAAAAAACATCACTATCTTTTCTGTCAACATTCAACATATATATATATATATATATATATATATATATATATGTGTGTGTGTGTGTGTGTGTGTTAATCATCATTTGAAAACAATCAGAGACTGCCTTGAATAATCCAAGCTAAGTCCCAATTAAGGGGTCAATTAGTGAAACTGCATCAGGATTTTTTTTTTTATGCGTACCCATTTGTATAAAAAAAAAAAAACTAATTAGGTTAAAGTAAAAGAAAAAAAAAAAAAAAAAAAAAGAAAAAGTAAAGAGAAAATTCTTCCGTGTTCTCAACCTGAAACTTAATTTCAATTCCAAGATGAAAATCATCATCTCTGAAAATTAAAGAAATCAATTTCATTTATTTCTCACTTCCCTGATTTTATCACGTTTCCGCTAATGTCTTCTTCTGGATTTCTTCACCTCTATTTTGCATTTGGCAGTGAAGATTGAGTTTGGGAAGAATTTGCCATCACCTTAATAAGAACACTTCAAAGACTCGAGTGTCAAATCTTTGTACCGAGAGTGAATAGAAAAAAAGACATTATTTACTAAATAATATTACTCTTCCGTTTTTCTTATTGTTTTACAGCGTCAAACAAACCGTCAACTCATCAGCCTGATTGACAGCAAAGTTATAAAATCACAACATTCATGTAAGCCAAAACATTATTGAGCAGCCATAAATCAACTCAAAGTTACCTTTAATCAAACATATACACGCCATCAAAATATCTCAGGTAATTTAAATACTTATAGTCTTTTTAAATAAATCATTACAATAATAAAAGGAGATGGTGAGGTCAAAACAATTACACATAGTTAAACAATCCTCAGGCTTA